AAGATAATTTAGAAGTGATAAAAGTGCTATTTTAATTTGTTAGTATAGAAAGGGTTTTATTACATATATCTAAATCTCTTCTATCTAATAAATTACATTTGTCAGTAGATGAAAGATAAAGGACATGAGATAACTAGTAGAAGATGTAGAACTGATATGTAGAATTGTGGAAAAATGTTCCATTTTGCCAGACAATAACAGTGCAGATTAAAACAATGAGAAACCATTTTAGTTATTGAGAGATTTAGTTATTTAGTTATATGAGTGAGAATGAATACCCTAATCTGGTGAAGGTGTAGTGAAACTCACTCAAATACATGAGTACATAGCAGGTAGCATTAGCATTTCATACCAATACCATACTTTTAAGCACGGTAACTACAAAAATACTGATACAGTTGACCCTTGAACAACACAAGAGTTAGGGGTGCCGACCCCCACACAGCTAAAAATCCAAGTACAACTTTTGAGTCTAACTACTGTATAGAATACAAACAGCATACAAAGTATGTGTTAATTTTGACTACTGATGTCATAGGTAAGGCTTCCAGTCAACAAAGGTCAAGTAACACTTATTTTGTATGTTGTTTGTATTCTATACTGTATTTTCACAATAATACATAACTTTTTTCTTAATTTTTTTTCAGTATTTCTAAGCCACTCATTTTGCAAGTTTTCCAAATTGTCTCTCCAAAAAATTTCCCATATATTTATTGAAAAAAATCCTATTTATAAGTGGCACATGCAGTTTAAAACCTGTACTGTTCAAGGGTCAACTGTAGTCTGTCAGGCTGATGCACACTTGTGGGACTGATGGGTATTTTCTTTTTTAAAAAATATTTTCACTCATATGTGGAACATAAGGAATAGCACGGAGGACATTAGGAGAAGGAAGGGAAAAATGAAGGGGGGGAAATTGGAGAGGGAGATGAGCCATGAGAGACTATGGACTCTGGGAAACAGACTGAAGGTTTCAGAGGGGAGGGGAGTAGGGGGATGGGTTGGCCCGGTGATGGATATTAAGGAGGGCACGTTCTGCATGGAGCACTGGGTGTTATACGCAAACAATGAATCATGGAACACTACATCAAAAACTAATGAAGTACTATATGGTGGCTAACATAATAAAAAAAAATATTTCCAGATTATTTGCAGTGGGAAAACTACATATAATTGGAATTTTACCTTATTCAAGGCATGATTGTGTAAAAGTTATATTTTGACATTGATATTAATACATTGATATACATTGACTATGTATCTAAAACCTGTAGCCCAGTGGTTGTCAAGTTGTAGAGTCTCAAAGTCCGTGCTGGATGTGGTGTGTCAAGTCTGGAAGCCTTAAAAATTTTTTTTAAACTGTATGATCCTGATAGAAGATATTTTAGGATATATGGATTAGTTTTTCTTAGTTAATTGTGGTGTTGTGACAGAATCCAATTGTGAGACTGGTGTTGTGACAGAATCCAATTGTGAGACTATCAGGTCAGCCGCCCATATCCACCATTCAGAAGATAGTTATTCTTGACAAGTTGAAGTTTATTTCCATACTCTCTTTTAGGCAGTGTAGCAGAATTAGGTTTTTAACTCCTAAAAGGTCAGCAGACAACTTTTGTTAAGTGTTTGACTTGGTCTTTTTTTTTTTCAAATTATGTGATTTAAAGAATGTATTGATTGATATTTTTGGGTGACACATCTCCGTGGATCTTTCATGTTTGTGCATGTCTGAACACGGGTGTTATCTGGACTATTTTTTCAAGGATATTGTACGAACAGCTTTGAAAGATAGTGAATTGAGACTTTGATTTAGATTTCCTTCTAAGTCTCAGGACAGATTTATTGCCTGTTGAGGATAATAAAGATAATTTTTCCCTCTAGAGCAGAAGTTGGACAGGTTTGCTAAGAGTACCTTTAAAAGGTTGGATTTTTGTAACCTTTGAGTTCTTCAGCTGTGGCGTAAACTACTGCTTGCTTGAGGACCATCTATCTGGGCAATTCCACTTCAGCCCCGTGGGACTTGGGTGACAACATAGAGCTCATGTTGCCTGTTGTACCATAAGAATGGATTAAGAAGATGTGATGTGTGTCACCCAGCCACCCCATCCCTCCCACCCACCTGGGGTGGCTGGATGATAGAAACTGGGGACGGTATGTGCTATGGTGAGCGCCGTGAATTGTGTAAGACTGTTGAGTCACAGACCTGTACTTCTGAAACAAATAATACATTATATGTTTAAAAAAAAAGAAGAAGAAGAAGAAGATAGCAGGAGGGGAAGAATGAAGGGGGGGAAATTGGAGGGGGAGACGAACCATGAGAGACTATGGACTCTGAAAAACAAACTGAGGGTTCTAGAGGGGAGGGGGTGGGGGGATGGGTTAGCCTGGTGATGGGTATTAAGGAGGGCATGTTCTGCATGGAGCACTGGGTGTTATAGGCAAACAATGAGTCATGGAACACTACATCAAAAACTAATGATGTAATGTATGGTGATTAACATAACAATAAAAATGTGTGTATGTATAAAATGGAATCATTTATATGTTGAATTTAAAAAAGAATTCTAAATAATAGAATCAAATAGAAGAGTGGTTGCCGGGGGCTGGGGCACATACAAGGGTTGTGGGGGGGGCAAGGAAAGGTCGGTAAGTGGGTACAGACTTTCAGACATAAGATGAATAAGGTCTGAGGATCTACTGTGTAACATGGTGACTATAGTTAATAACACTGTATTGTGTAGTTGAAATTTTCTGAGAGTAGGATTTAAGTGTTCTCACACACACAGCACACACACAGAAGACAAAAAGGTATTCTATGTGAGGTGATGGATGTGATAATTAACTAGATGGAGGGAACCCTTTCACAATGTATATGTATATCCAATCATCATGTTATAAAATTTAAATATCTTACAGTTGGGTCAGTTATACTTGGCTACTTATACTTGATTGATTATACAGTAATATAAGTAAAGCTAGAAAAAAATAAACCTTGTTGAGAAAAAAAGTCTTATTTCTGACTCAGGATTCTTGTTTTTGCTAGCATCCATGAAACTGGCTTGCTTCCTCGATAACTCAAAAAGTAGAAGTAGAGCAAAATCCTCTGCCTTTCACAGTTATTTAATGCCTTGAAAGATACATATTGGTGTAATGATGTGACTTTTTTAAAAACAAGAACAAAGAGAGTAAGATTACTTTAGAAATACAGAATTTAAAAGGAAAGTGTGTGTTTGTATTTATTGAGAAAAGTATATGAAAATACCCTAGGAACTTGCAGGTAAGTAGCTGTTTTTTAGACCACTTCCCTTCTGCCCTCATGAGTGTTTATTATCTCGCTCAATTTCCAGTCTGGAGGTTCTGTCTCTACATAGAGGGTCACAGTCCTTCTTATAAATAAAATATTTATATAGTATATATTTTATTATTTTAAAATTATTTCAGAAGAATTTATAGATCCTGAATTAACTCACTGAGTGTTAGGGTAAACAATTGAAGATTTTAAAATAGTAAGACAAACACTAGCAAATTATGCTTAACATGGAAAATACTTTCACTATTTCTCAGAATTCAAACCAAGAAAAGTTAGTAAAAGTCCTTCTGCTTAGGTTTTAGCTATTTTGTGTGTATTGATGAAGCAGAGCAGTATCTTCTAAAATAAGCTTTAATTTTCAGTTTAACAAGAGTATTGTTTTGTTTTGTATGGAAATATATTCATATTATATTTGCTGTCAGAATTAAAGGCCCAAAGTCAAATATAATCAAATCCAAATAATTTGTTTTGAGATTAGAATGAATTTCAATGAATACCTTTTGTTAAGGTAAAATTTTGTGTTTTTTTTTTTTAGTAACAATTATGCCAGTAATTAGCTATAATACTTCTTTTTTATACTGTCAGTCTGCCATTGTGCACTTACCTCAATGTTCCGTCCCATTACTAATTAAGCATGTTGCTCTTTGACCAAGCTACTGCCCCTCCCTCCCTCCTCTCTTTCATTTCTTTTGATTTATCTTTTCTCTTCCTCAAGTAGGTGCAGAGCAATTCACCAAGTCTTTTACCCTAACGCAGGGTAAGAGGTCTGCCTCTCCTCTCTCCTTCTCCTCCTCCTTTTTTTTTTTTTTTTTAAAGCTATGGGTTATAATTGATATACAAAACATTGAACACATTTGATATATGTATCAGTGAGTTTGACATATGTACACATCTGTGATTCCATTACCACAATCAAAGTACTAAACACCTATATCATCACCTTTAAAAATTTCCTTGTTTTCTTTGCGTGTGTGTATACGTTGTGGTACAAACACTTAACATGAAATCTGTCCTTTTTAACATATTTTAAAGGTCACAATACTCTACTGTTAACTATAGATACTATGTTGCAGGGGATCTCTAGAACTTACTTATCCTGCACAACCGAAACTTTATATCCATTGAGTAACAATTATCCATTTCCCCCTCCCCTAACCCCTGGCAACAAACATTCTTATCTCTGCTTCTAATGAGTTTGACTATTTTTGATACCTCATACAAGTGGAATCATGCCATATTTGTCCTTAGGTGACTGGCTTATTTCACTTAGCATAATATCCTCTGCGTTTCTCTGTGTTGTTGCAAGTAGGGTTTCCTTCTTTTTTTTTTTCTTTTTTTTAACACTGGACATCCTTTCTCAGAGCCTCCTTCTGTTTGTTTTTTTATATAATGGCCAGAGTTTTTTGTTGTATTTAGTGAGAGGATTAGGAAAAAGCATGTCTATTTCATCTTATGGAAGTGGTAGACTGTTTTGCTTTTGTTACTGTTGTATAAACCTTTGTGATCATTAGGAAAAATAAAATGAAATATTTTATGCGTATATAGTCAATTAATAATGAATACACTCACCAAAAGAACTTCTAGCAGAAATTAGTTTTGGTTAAGACACAATCTCATGTAATTCAGTTTATATGAAATACAAAGTGAAGAACTTTAACTCTGTGTAAGTTTAAATTCCTGTGTTTAATTGCAGAATCTTTTAGCTGAAAAAGTAGAACAACTGATGGAATGGAGTTCCAGGCGCTCAATCTTCCGAATGAATGGCGATAAATTCCGAAAATTTATAAAGGCACCACCTCGAAACTATTCTATGATCGTTATGTTCACTGCTCTTCAGCCTCAGCGGCAATGTTCTGTGTGCAGGTAATTTATGTATTCTAAAAAAATTTTAAATTATTATCATATGCTTGTATATTTATTACATATATAAATCTGTATAATAGAATTCAACAGCTGTTCAAGGTTATAGTCAGCTATAAATGTGGATTTAAAAGTAAACTCAAAATCAGGGGCGCATGCGTGGCTCAGTTGGTTAAGTGTCTGACTCGGTTTTGGCTCAGGTTGTGATCTCATGGGTCCTGAGGTTGAGCCGCAGGTCAGGCTCTGCTCTCAGTGCAGAGTCCGCTTGAGATTCTCTCTCCCTCTACCCCTCACCCTGCTAGTGAGCGTGCACGCGCTCTCTCTCTCTCTCAAATAAATCTTTGAAAAATATAAGCAAGCTCAAAATCAGTGTATTTTAGAAAATAATTTGATAGGCTAGTATTCTTTTATTGTGTAAAATACTTATTGATCAATCCATTTGTAATCATAAAACAAATTTGCTTCTTTATGTCCTGTATGAAGGTAAATATGTGATAGAATTTGGTTCGAATATTGCCTTGTAGGTCACCTAATTATGTTTTATAGGCAATGAAGTCATCTCCTTAAACATATTCTATTTTAATAGTTTAATAGAGAGGACACACTTTTACCTACAAAAGTCCATTTACTTTTCATTACCTCAATGATTAGAAATTTCTCCCTATGATACAGAAGTACATCATTTCAAATGAATGAAACAGTTTTTTAGTGGGAATGTACTAAAGAAAATTTTGGACAAGTACAAATACATATGCAGCAATGCTTTAAAAAATTCCTGTTTTTGAAATAATTGTAGATTTACATGCAATTGTAAGAAATAATACAGAGAGACCCTACATACCTTTTATTCAGTGTCCCCCAGTGGTAACATCTTGCAAAACTATAGTGTAATATCACAAGCAGGGTATTGGTATTGATATCGTGAAGATACAAAACAGTTCCATCACCATAAGAATCTCTCCTCTTGCCCTTTATAGCCACACCCACCCACCCATTCCCATTCCACTCCCACATCCTGAATTTGTACTCCATTGTGTTGTTCCAGTAATATGTGAATGGAATCCTACCCTTAAAGATCTTTTGGGTTTTGCTTTTAATAACTTAACATAATTCCCTCAAAATCCATCAAAGTTACTGCATTTGTCACCATTCTTTTTATTACTGTGTAACATTTCATGGTATGAATGTACTGCCATTTGTTCAGCCATCCGTTACAGAACGTCTGGGTTGTTTCTAATTTTTGACTATTACAAATACAACTGTTGTGAACATTCTGGTACAGGTTTTTCTATGAACTTAAGGTTTTATTTCTCCATGATGGCTAGGTTGTTTGGTAGTTGCATGTTTAGCTTTGTAAGGAACGGCCAAAATGTTTTCCAGAGTAGCTGTATTTTTACATTTCCTGTAGCAGTGTATGAGTGGTCTAGGTTATCCATATCCTTATCAGCATTTGTCACTATTTTACTTTACTCAATTTGCTAAGTATGTAGTGATAACTCATTATGGTTTTATTTTGCATTTTCCTAGTGGCAGTCGTGTTGAAAATCTTTTCATGTGTTTGTTATCTGTATATCACATCTTTGATGAACTATCTGTTCATGTCTTTTGCCCATTTCTAATCAGATTTTTTACTGAGTTTTGAGAGTTCTTTATGTAGTTTTCAAATATTTTCTCCTAGTCTATGGCATATCTTTTCATGTTCATGACTGATCTTTTGCAGATTTTAATTTATGAGGCCAGTTTACCAGTTTCCTATTTTGTAGCTTACTTTTGTTATCCAGTTGAACTCTTTGCCTAGCCCTGTGTCCCAAAATTTTTCTCTAATTTTTTTTCTGAAAGTTTTATAGTTTTTTGTTTTACATTTTAATCTGATCTTTGGAAGAAAGTATTTAATCATTAATGATGGTACTAGCTGTAAGATTTTTGAAGATGTTCTTTATCAAGTTAAGGACGTTCTCTACTAGTTTGATGAGAGTTTTGATCATGAATGGGTGTTGGATTTTATCAGATTTTTTTGTTGTGAATTGATATGATTTTTCACCCTTAGGTGCTTGGTATAGTGCTTTGTAGTATTGGATTTTTGTATATTGAACCAGCCTTGCATTTTGGAATATATCCTACTTGATTATGGTATATTACTCCTTTTATGTATTACTGGATTCTGTTTACTAATAAAAGTCTATTAGAGATTTGCATCTAAGTTCATGACAGCTATTTATCTGTACTTTCATTTTTTATACTGCTTTTTGTCTAGTTTGGTATTAGGCTAATACTGGCCTCATAAAATGAGTTGAGAAATGTTCCCTCCTCATTTACTTTCTAGAAGAGATTGTGTAAGATTAAATAATTTTACAAGATTGTGTAAATTCTTTAAGTATTTGATGGAATTCTTCAGTGAAACCATCTGGGCCTTGTGATTTTAAATTACATATTTCATTTCCTCAATGGCTAAGGACAATTCAGGGTGTCTCTTTTTGGCTGAACACTTTTTCAAGAACACTTTTTATGTGGTGGTTCCACTTAGTGACTCTCCACATTGTATAGTCATTTGTAGACTTTTAGAATTTAAATCATTGTGAATTCTAGTGGGAACTGAAGTTATTAATAACATGGGTCAATGAAAAAAAAAGTTTCAGACTAGTTTGCAGAAAGGGAATTTCAGTGTCTCAACATTTTCTAGAAGGATCTTATGATCTAATAATGACTGTATGTTGGGGGCATGTCTAAAAGTGGGTAGAGAAGATGGTGAGCAAAAGTATTTTGAGGGGCTCCTGGGTGGCCCAGTTAAGTGTCTGCCTTTGGGTCAGGTCATGATCCCAGGACCCTGGGATCAAGCCCCGCAGTGGGCTCCCTGCTCAGCAGGGAGTCTTCTTCTCCCTCTGCCTCTCCGCCTACTTGTGCTTTCTCTCGCTTGCTGTCTCTCAAATAAATACAAATAAAATCTTAAAAAAAAAAAAAAAAGTGTATTTGAAAAACAACGTTGTAGATGATTCTGGATTCTCCTTTCATCTTATACAAGGGCCAGTATGCAAGTTGGCATTAAAAGTGTTGTCATTAAAAGAATTGGGCTAGCACATTTGGATGAGTCTATTATACTCAGACTGTCCTACTCAGACAAAAACACCACCTTAATTGGCATTTTGGTGTAACAGTTAAGTTTCCACTAAAAATACGTGTCTTCTGGCATCCTATAACACCATATATATTTTAGGAAAATCATTTGCTCTTAAAAATTGAATATATTGCTTTCTTATATTTGCCACTATTAGGAAGTATATTTAATTGATCATTATATTTTTTGTAGCTGTAAACTTCAAAGACTTTATTACCCAAGTATTTACTTCACAGTTATATAAAATTGTATGTATTGTGATGATACAAACTATAATATACAGTTAAATGTTGTATCCTTTAGGTATTATTTTACTTAATGCATTAAGTCATTAAATGAATTGCTGAACATGGAGCCTTAATTTTTTTAATGACACATAGGTCAAAATAACCTGTTTTTTACAGCCTATTTTGTAATAAACTTGAAAATTTTAGAAAAGTTTTGGATTTATAAGAGAAAAAGGTTGAAGTTATTAGAAAGTTAAAATAATAACTTTAGAGAAGAAAAAATAGATTAAACTTTAGAAGCAAATAAAAAGTAAAGAGCAGACATGGTTCCCATACCCAGAATTCTTCTCCCTCCCCTGCATCGGAATTCTGACTTAATTGTTTTTGGGGTAGGGCCAAGACATTGACATTTTCAAAAGTAAGATCTCTAGGTAATTCTAGTGTGCACCCAGTATAGAGAAAGGGAAGGAAATAAAAGCAGGTACATGATTCATAGCTTTTATTTATTTACTTTTCATTGAGGAGCAGTGGGAATGGGAAGGTTTAACTAATTGGATGACCATATAGCATTGAGAATCCTTTTGAAACTATAATACCCAAATTCTTAGTGAAGAATCTGTAGAATTTAATGATTTTCTTCCCCCAATACTCAGCAACGGAGGAGAAAGAACACTCTGCTTAGAGGTTAATATGTTTGGTTTATGGTGTGAAGTGGATTAGGTAAATGATTTTAGGTGCTAGTGAGAGCATATTTGAAAGATATAACTGTGGGTCCAGAGTTGGTTGGGGGGTTAGAGGAATCCGGGGATAGCTGATAAACTAGATGTGATATAATAAAGCTAAATTTTTCGTAAGAGTGAAAAACAGGTTTTGTGTAAAAGTAGGGTGGGATTGAAAGTTAGGAAGTGGTTATAAAAGGTTTTTTTAAATAACTAAATTGCTGAAGTATAATGTAGATGATTGTTGATCTTGTAGAGACATTTGAGGAACTATAAGGCTGTGGTGATGTCTGGTTTATAAACATGTATTTGAAATTACTCAGGATGATAAGGGAACTGGAGAGGAAAAAAAATTAAGTGAGCTGATAGAGGGATACCTTGGACTTTATTAGATGAGGATGATAAATTTATTCTATATGATAAGTAAATCTCAAAGGAAGATCTCTTAAATAATTGTGGTGGAGCAGTGGTCTGTGATCTATTATTGAGCCAAGAGAGTATTTGTATTTCATATGATAGTGTATTTCATATGATAGTGGGCAGTGTGGATCAAACAGATCCCAAGGTGACAACTATGATGAAATATAGAGAGGAGTTTCAAGAAAAATTTTCAAGAAAAATTATTCAAACTTTATTTCTCTATTACAAATTAAGCCTCAAGGGGAGATGCAGATTCACTGAGAAAGGCAACCAACCCATCATCAGTAGCCTTTTTTTTTTTTTTAAACATGAACTAAATTTTCCTGGATCCTTCTGTGTCATTAGAATTTTGGACCATTTTTATAGTACTGCTATAAATTTTTATAATTCTACAGAATCATTGAAAAGTTCATAGCTATAATTTTTTTCATAGCTATAATTTAAAACTCTTAGTGCTTCCCTCTGTGAGATGGAGATGTTTTTTGCTTTTCTTTTTTTTTTTTAAGGAAAAGTGAAATTTTCTTT